GCCAGGTGCTCTGTAGGAGCATCCAATTAGTGCTGTTACGTTATTTAAGTGTACATTAACCCATAGAGTCTCAGGCATGTTAAGTGTACTACTTTCTAGCTGTGATACAGTAAGTTCATTCAAGAAGTACATGAGACAACCCCCTCCCTTACCACCTTCCCTGTCACACCGAAAGTGTGTGTAGTTATCTAAGCTTATTTCATCATCCAGGATGTCCGAATGACACCAAGATTCAGTGATGACAATTACAGGGGGTTTGTATATTACTGTGAGTGCTCTGAGCATCGGCAATTTATTTAGAACAGATCTAGCATTTATGAGGATTACGTAAAGATGAGAGTTGAAGTAGCATTTGAAGTATTTAAGTTCGTTAGTCAGCCCCGAATATGGTTCAGCACCCAGTAGTTCTGCTGGACATGACGATCCTATGTTAAGAGGAGTTCCAGCATCATGCTCACCTATGTCTATCGAGTTGTTGTGTGCTGTTTTCGGTGGAGAATTAGGAGTTGGAGTACTGGATTTGCTATAGACTAAGGAACTTTTATTTTTAGTTAGGTTACAGAAGTGGGTAGGGTTCTTTATTTGGCCTATACTTGTGCAAGTGTCAAGTGTGTCCAATGGATACGGGTGCACTAGACCGTTCCTGTTTTCATGCAAGGAGGGAGCCAGCACTAGTGGTTTAGGAGTGTTAACATCCCTACCAGCTGTTTTTTCAACGCTGACAGGGACGCGGGGGATAAAAAATGATTGGATCCTTGTGATGACCATGGCTTATTATTCCACCTATTGTTTGATGCTAGTTGTGTCCTTGTGTGGGTTTCGTGTGTACTGCATTTTGGGTTAGTTCCCAGCAGACTTGTACCATATATCCGGTCGAAATTTGTTTGTGTGCCATACTCTGAAGACCCTGAGTTGTTGGTAGCCGAGTTCTGACTGTTACCACTTGTACTATTTAGGGTGACATCGTTGTGACATTGGATATTAGTGTGTGCCACGGTGCGATTTAGCACGTTGTGAGTGCTAATACTATTAACCGTGGGGAGTGTGGGCTTATTTAAGCTGCCACTGTTTTTGTTGGTATGATTTAGGGGCATATTTTCCTTATCTTTACCAATGGAATTATAGCTAGGAGAGGACAAAGTCGAGTTTCGGGGGGTTTTAACTTTTTTTCTGGGGTTATTTAGTGGCATTTTAGATTCTGCGGTGATGGGTGGTATGGTTTTATTATTTATTTGGTTACAGTCTAGTGGCCTTTCGGCTGGTGTTGCACTCTGATGGGACATTTCTGTGTGTTCCTCTTACACTTATTTTTCCACCCCTAATCTAACATGTTCGTCTAAAATATACCTATAAGCACACGGTGTATCAGTCGACAAATGTAAGTTCCTATGAACGACGTCGCTTTTCGAGCTCGCTGCTAATCTTGGCAACTTACGTAAAGAGCATGTAAAAACCATTGCAATACTCACAAGCGGTATAGTACTTTACGTTAAAATAACGGACGGTTCAACCACAACGTGCATAGGCCAGTAGGGGCACAAAAACTAAATGCCTGACCATTTTGTTTGTTTCTTTTCGTAAATGGCTATTGGCTGGAAAAAACGGGATACAAGCGACTCAGCTTTTTATTCCTGGCAACAATGACAGCAGTTTCGTAAGGCAATATCAGCATTTACATGATCAACATGCTGTTTCGACAGGCGTGATCATATCTGACATAATTATGCAGTAAATTTGGTCATCGGAGTTTAAACTTTTCTTCAGACGTGGAGAATATTACTGGTGTAAAAATGTCGCGGAGATTATCTAGGTCTACTAATTTGCGCGCGTAGGTCATCACTGTTGCTCGCAATGGTAAAATTAAATCACACTACAGGGATATACTGAGAAATAATTCGTTAGTGGTCAGAGGAGCTAAAGTGTGAAAAAGAAGGGTGCAAACTGAACACGTCTCACAAATTTGTCTTCTGGAAACCAGATAATTAGGCTGCCTGAACGACTTCGAGCTCGCTTCCGGCTGGTTTCGACTCAACATAACGCTCACAATTGATGTTTAACCACCAATCTTGCTAGACCTGAGCTCTGGCCATCCCACTCTCTGAGTCTTTAGCCTGGCCCACCTGACCTGGTGTCCGCGGTCGAATGACTTGTATTACATATAAATCCAAAATCTCACGTTGAAGATGCATGGAGTTAGTCCAAGCGTTTTTACGAGTCAATAACTCAGCCATTCATCCTTTGGTCTGTCTCTATGGATCGAAATTGTTGTCCCCCTTAGATAAACTGAGGGATTCGTAGGTTGCTTGGAGGCAAGCCTAAATTTGAAACCTGTTCATCCCGTTTGGAACTCCTGAGTTTATAAAGTTGTATGCTACCTTCGGGAACGAATCTACTTCAGGAATCCGTTAATCAAGAATGAAGTCTTGATGTACATAGCCCAAAATGCAACTGCGTAAATAATGGAAACCTTTTCGTACACAAACTTCGGGGATGAGAAATCCAATTGGGCCCCGGAGCTGATAGCGACATGATTTGGGAAGCTAGGAAGAGGCAAAGGCAATGTCAAAAGTATTTCTACAGAGTCCTAACTCAAGTGTCACCACACTGCACTTCATCTTCCCTGTTGGCTTCAGAGAAATACCCAATAAGTTTCTTTGACATTGACCTGGACATCGTACTTCAATCTTTGAGGAGACCAGAACCAGGAGGATCGACAGGCCACGGTGACCTTCACCTAAGGCTCTTCATGGAGCTAGCGGCTCACACAACCGACCCACTGAAAACGATCTTCAAGCTCTCCCGAATGCAGTGTTGCTCTGCATCATAGTACCACGTATCCACAGAGGAGGATCAGGACAGTGTACTTCAGACTATAGCCTATCAGTCTCACCAGCGACATAACCAAGATACTGGAAAGAATCATCAGGGAAGGCATTATGGCATATCTGGAAAATAGATCGTCATCCGAGGAGACCTCTCATGCCTGTGAGATCTCACGCCAAGGGAAAAGTTGGGTCAAGGTAGGGGAAGACAGAAGGCCCGTTGACGGTGAGTTCGTTGACTTCACCGAGGCCTTCTATAAAGTGCCTCCCGGACGGCTTACTAAACTGGATTAGGGAACTCCTCATAGGTAGGAGAAAGAGAGCCAGTCTCAGCTCAACTCTCCTCCTGGACAACAGTACGTCATGGGGTGACACAAACCACTGTATTCGAGTCCCTTTTATTTATTTTGTATATCAATTGCTTACATATGCTCAATGATTCCCTCATGGACCTTTATGCAAATGACGCAAATATATTTGCAGAGAGCCAAATGCTGACAGTCACATTCTGACATCGCAACGAAATCTCATAGAATTCTAAGTATTTTCAGCGCATTGAATTGCAAAACCACACACAAACATCAGCTCATACAAACTGGATGGAATAGTGATCCCATCGTTTCAGACTCACATGGATCTAGATGTTATAATAAGTCACGACTTAACAAACCACAGCACACTATCTCTCTCTGACAGCTCGAATTGCCATCTGTTGTCAGGTCAAGATTGGAAGACTGAATCCAGGCAGACAGTCTTTGAATCTATAGGAAACCATACATTGTACAAAATGGTTCGGAGGAGTGTGACACGCACGATTCTCGGAATTACTATTTTATCATACGGTGAAAGTAAACAGACAGAATCGTTTCTACTTGTCTACTTGTGGAATATACCTTTATACCAATGAAAAAGTATTAATTAAATTAATTAATTAATGAATTCACGATTGTACCTTATAACATAACTGATCGTATCTGTAAAAATAGCTTTCATTTCTTGAAAACACCCGTTTATAAGAAAATATATACTATCATGATTATTAGTCTACATTGAGTACAATTCACTTGTGATGTTACGATGAAGATGGTGACAAAACTATACAAGTGTATCACCAATTAGGCTCGATGCAATACACACCAAAGTTATATAGGGGAATTAATTCAAGCTCTATTTTTTTCCCAAGCATTTGTAACCCATCCAAAACATAATCGGGTTGTTTTTATTAATGCGAAGACAATATTTCTATGTTTCTTGATGTGCTCCATTGAATGACTAGTTATCATATTGTTCCCACAAACCAAAGACAAAAACGACAGCAACCATGTAATTTAACCATAAACCAAATTTATGTAATTTAAATAATACTTCTCCATGCCTTTACAGTTGGTGTGTTCTAACCAGGTAGGAAAAAATATACGCGGTGGCTGCACGTAGTTTCAGGTCCTTATGGGCGATTCGCAGAGCCTTCACAAGAATTACCAGAGATATGTTCACCTCCTTATACACATCTCTGGTTAGGTCAAGACTGGAAAACTGCATCCAGGCCGCCAGTCCGTGTCTAAAAGGGGATTCACACATTCTAGAAAGTGTTCAAAGGAAGGCAACACGTATGGTTCACGGCATAGCTAACTTATCATATGAGGAAAGACTAGATAGTTTAAATCTCTTCTCACTGTCATACCGTAGGCAGAGAGGAGATTTAATCACAATGTTTAAAATTTTAAATAATGACTACGGACCTGACCTGTTCTCTCTTTTCCTTCCCACCAGGTCGGAACAACTTAGAGGACATAGCAGGAGAGTTCAAAAGCCAAGGAGAAATCATATTGCTGTTGAGTACTGGTTCTCACATCGAGTCATAAACTCTTGGAACCGACTCCCAGAAGAAGTGGTGTCTGCAACCTCAATTGATTCGTTCAAGAAGGGTTTGGACAACCACAGAAATCTACTAGAAAAGGATTAACATAGGCTGCAAGCCTTCTATCCTCAACCAATAAATCTGAAATCTGAAATCTTATTATAAAGTATGTTTAATAATCATATATGTAATTTATCATATTGATGATGCCTGCAAACTGGCGCCCCTCATGTACAAAATGAGAATATATTATTATTATAAAGGTAAGCAGAGATCATATTACGATTTTTAAAATTTCGAACACAAACTACCGACCTGATCTATTTTGTATTACCTCTCCGTCTAAGTCTCAATGTCTCAGAAGACATAGTAGGAGAGTTTAAAAGCTAATGCAGGACTGTGAATCTTTTTGTTTTAGTGACAGAGGCAAATCTGTTCTTGCAAGGTCATCTCTGCGTCATATTTTTCTGCGAGCGTCTCATCCAAGGAGAACGGTGTCTCCAGATTCGGGGTTGTGGTGTGTTCCCGCGTTGTTTGGTTGTATGTTTTCGTGAATTCGCTTGCCATTGAAATTTAAAGGTTTCTTTTTTGACTATTTTGCGTATTTTAATGTGTCTATGTCAATTTCTGTCACTGGATGCTACTATAAGCTTATTTTTAGTCTGAAGTTCGCAGTTATTAAGTTTATAGTTAACGGCTATGGTAAACCTGCAATCATTGAGCTAATTCGCGTATATTAGGCCAAGATAGTGAACTGTTCATAGCACAAAATGAAATTTAACTGCAGTTAAGTTAGCCCTTTAATCGTGCAATAATGCTGAAGCAAATTTCACAAATTGCCATCCAACTCTCACTTTCTCCACTGAATTTGGTAACTCCCAGCTACAGTGGCTGAAAACCAAACAGCCTAATAAACGGACTGATGACCTTTCAGATTCAGATATATTGGTTGAATAGCCTATGTTAATCCTTTTCTAGTTGCCCAAACCCTTCTTGAATGAATCAGTTAGGGTTTGAGACACCACTTCTTCTGGGAGTCGGTTCCAAGAGTTAACAACTCAGTGTGAGACCCAGTACTCAACAGAAAAATGATTTCTTGGCTTCTGAACTCTCCTGCTATGTCCTCTGAGGTTTTCCGACCAGGTGGGAATGAAAAGAGAGAATAGGCCAGGTTCGTAGTCATTATTTGAAATTTTAAACATTGTGATTAAATCTCCTCTCTGCCTATGGTATGACAGGGAGGAGAGATTTAAACTGTCAAGTCTTTCCTCGTATGATAAGTTAGTCATGTCGAGAGCCATGCGTGTTGCCTTCCTTTGAATCCTTTCTAGAATGTGAGTCCCCTTTTAAACAACGACTGGGTGCCTGGATACAGTTTCCCAGTCTTGACCTCACCAGAGATGTATATAAGGAGGTGAACATCTCTGGTGAATCTATTAAAGGCTCTTCGAATTGCCCATAAGGACCTGAAACTGCGTGCAGCCACCGCGCGACAGTGTGCTGTAGTTTTTAAATCGTGGCTAACTATAACACCTAAGTTCAAGTGAGTCTGAACTGATGGAAGTGTTATTCCCTCTAGTTCGTAGGCGCTAGTGCTTGCTTGTCCGATGTGCATGGTTGTACATTTTGCCACACTGATCGGGAGCATCCATTCTATGGACCACTCTGACAATTTGTTGTGGTCCTCTTGCAACGTGGATGTGTCACTGTTGCCCTTCAGTGGGAATAATCTTGACGAATTTATTAACAGAAAGTGGTTTAACCTGTCTATGAGGACTTGTGAGAAATTGGGAGGTTTTCTTTGAACAAATACAAGATTATCCTACGTAACCATTTTTAACATTGTATTAGTTGTATATAGACGCTTTTTCGAAATTACGCACTTCTACTTCTGACGCATCTGATTGGTCGCTAGAGGTAGTTTCGTTTTGGGCTGCTATAGTATAGCCACACTAAAACCTGCAGCTATTCGAAGCATCTCATTAGGATTTGAAATACGTTGACAGTGAGGCTTTACAAGATTCCTGCTAGACATGTCTACTATCCGATTTGCAACAGTATATGAACACTGTATGTTGCAACCTTGGGCTCAACACGTGGTTTCAGAATTGCTGTGCCAAATATCTCAAAGGAACTCAGCTCTGTGAACGTAACCGACCAGCAACTCGAAATGATAAGGATACCGATTTTTAAGAAGTAAAGCTAATTTAGTAAACAATGGTTCATACATAGGAATAAAAAATTTTGTGATAGTTGATTAAGTGACTGAATATATGACTTGTAAAGTAATTCTCGAAAGCGTACAGGCAAGTTGAGTTTTCAACCAATTTCTTGTTTAGTGTTTCAGATACTACCCGAGCTCTCAAACCGAAGTAGGTGGTTTTTTAAGGGGTCAGTCCCCAAACTTTTGACGACGTCTGACTCTCAAAGCTGTGGAGCGATTTCATTAGGTGCATTCCTATGGCTGCTGGTGATCGGAATAGGTGATTTTTTTGGGTCGTATAACTCACTTGCATCACTTGCCTGGAATCACCCTCTATGTCCACCACTTCGATTATGACCGCCAAAATTTTCCACCTAACTAATTTCCAAAGAAGACTACTACTAACTGTACCTTCAATATATTTAGCGTAAAGAGCATCCTCAGCTAATAATAATTTATTGTTTCTTCAAGTGATGGGTTTGAAGAGCCAAACACCAGATCAATAATAATGGAGTAGGTCTTACTTTTGGAATCATCCGAACATGACTGGACAGATATCGTTTGACTACGTTGCTTCAGCGTATATATATATATATATATATATATATATATATATCATTAGCATTGGTGACAAGATAATCATGAGAAAATGAGACACATGGTGTAATACACAAAATTTAGTAGGTATAATGCATGAGGATTATCTCTTTCGAATCTCCATACATGTTACTGTTTGTCGTTTTTTTTTGATTTTTCGCCACTGAATTATTGCTCAGTTTCTCAGTCAGCTCTCGTTAACACAGGCATCCGTAAATTAAGGTTTTAATCTCACGACCATTTAATAAATTTCTGTTTCATGAAAATAAACAGTAAAAGGGAAGCTAAAGTGATTCTAACAGAAGCTGGATAAAGTTGAAAATGTCTTTACAGAGGTCCACAACTCACATATATATTGTTCAACTTCGGATTTAACTTCATGTGATTTGAAGCGTAGAAATAACGCATAGGATTAGTTTATCCGATGAAACGGTCTGCACATATTCACATTCACGCACATGGTTATCAGTGTTTCGGAAATTAACTGGACTTGGGAATGTTGAGCGCACAATATAGTCAATGAATTAAAACTATTATAGTCTTACACTGAAATAGTAACTGTTTTTACACTCACTGTTATCCAGCTAAACTTCCTTGAGTCTAAGCCAACAAAGTTTTTTGGATCCTTGCGATACGCGGGTCTGAACACCACATAAAAGTTATCAGTTATCACTTGGAATGTCTTGCTGGGTTGTTTTAAAGTAACATAAACCGTTTATATCAGCTCCAGTCAAGTTATATTTGTTATATTACAAGTACAGAATTGCCTCCATATTGGTGTGTTGCACTTCAAAACAGCACATACAGGGGGCTTCAGATGACTTCGACGTTATTTATGTCTATCCTGTTGTAAAGTATAATATAGTCCAGTGTATGACGGGTAGGTTGGTTGCATTATTATTATTATTATTATTATTATTTCAACTAATAATCATGAGCTACTTGCATATTTTTGAGATTTTTTCTTATTGGATGTACTTGTTATTGATTTCGTTCTTTGTTTTGAATGAAACTTTTTAGTTGCCCCTGAGTTTTCTACTTACACTATTGGTGTTAATGAGTACTTGTGGGAAGCATCTGTTTTATAGAGACAGAAAAGAATGGAATGACATTACTCCTGTACCTCAAGATGATAATGGTCGGCACATTGTAAATATAGCATATTCAGAAGAATTTGTTGACGCACATGATTATTTCCGTGCAGTTTTGTTAAAAAATGAACTTAGCGAGAGAACGTTTTCTTTAACGTCGGAGATTTTATTGATGAATCCTGCCAACTACACGGCTTGGGAATATAGAAGAAGGATCATCAAGGAGATTTCATCAGATCTTAATGCTGAGTTGCGTTTTGTGGGTAGCCTTATTGAAGAATATTCGAAAAACTATCAAGTGAGTGATTATATATATATATATATATATATATATATATATATAGCACATAAGTGCTAAATAATGCCACAGAATTAGGTGGGACAGCTTATTTAAGAAGGAAAATATTTCGGAGGTAATGGCATTAGTCACGAGAGTTTTGTGTATCGTGGATGTGACAGAGTGACAAATTCTGTTTAAATTGCACAGTTAATGTTGACACTTCTTAACTGTGCAACTGTGTTATCACTATTGTCAGCGGTGGATGACGTCAGGTAATGACATGAGAAATGTTTCTGCTAAGTGGATATGAGTACTGCATGACTACTAGCATCTAACTGGAAATACTTGGCCTTACGCACTAATTTTGTTCAAGTGCATTGCTACCAAGTCGACATTTCATTAGCAAACTAGGGAGTTCAGTTTTCGTGTCACTATAATTTGAGAATAGCAATGTCTACAGAATACTTAGAGTCACAATATCATATTAGGTGCTAGTGTTGTTGTTTCCGTACAGTATCTTATATTAATATATGCAGCGGTGTGAAATTGGTCTTCACTAGCTAAATTATAGTTAGTATTCTTAGGGCGATGTTTTCATTTTGCAAAACAATTTAACAGTCTTCTCGTCTATTATTATTGTTCCCTTGGGTTCCTAGTGGAACATAGGGCTTCAACTGCACGTCTCCACTTGCTTCTGTCTTCTGCTGTACTTTTCACCTGCATACATGTTAGTCCATACTGTTTCAACTCCTCTTCACACGATCTCCTCCATGTCACCCTTGCACTGACGATCCACTCGCAGCTTCCCCTTCGGCCTGGTTCCACTCAAGCAATGGCCTGGCGCGCGCGCGACGTCACCCAGCGGCGGTCTCCTCACTCAGTGAGTGTCCAATTCATCTCCACTTCCTCCTGCATATTTTTTAGTTGGGCGATTGGTTCTTGTTTTGTTTGTTTGTGCCCATAGTTTCTTGTTGGTGATTCTTTCCGGAAAATCAATCGACGAGGCTATAAAGTTACATAGACTGAGATGGCTAGGTCACGTGCTGCGCATGCCTAACCATCGCCTCCCCCGACGGGCATTGCTAGCTGATATAGGTGCAGGTTGGAAAAGAGCCAGTGGTGGCCAAACAAAAACATGGCCTCATCAATCCATGAAATCCTTGACAGTTAAACTGAGTCGGTCAGGTAGGGAGATGCAGACTTCCGGGTTGGGGCCCTCGGGACTCTAGGAATCAATGGCTGGAGACAATAGGTGACATGGCTCAAAATCGTTGTCAATGGCCAGTGCAGATGTATTCAGTCTCTGTAATCTTTCATATTCCTTTCTACCATTACCCATTCTGTTTCACTCTTATACTTGTCAGACTGTATTGATTCTCTTCACTCATCTTCTTGTCTACCTCTGTGTGCTATTTGGAACGTGGCAAGTCGAACTGCTGCACTTCGGTGTCAAGTTCTATGTTGAATCCAGACAGAGACAGACAAACTTTCCGGCCCGGCCATCTTATCTTCAGTATAGAGCCAGCGAAGACAGTTGTTGGTTGATAAAGGTCTGCAACAGGCTATTGGAAATATTCTTTGTGACCCACTTACCAAGTTTCTCATCCATATAGGAGAACTGACTGACTTGACGTTTGTATTGAAAATCCTACCGAATTTTGTTGTTGATGCTGAGTGACAGTGGAAGATTTCCAGATTCGTTTCAGGTTGATGACTGTGTTTTTCGCGTTCCCGATTCTCGCTCGATTTGACATCCTCGTTCGTTCCTCCTGTAGTTGAGACACTACTCCCTAGATAAGTGAATGAAGTAACCTCTTTCAAGTCCCTCCCGTTGATGGTGATTGGCGCTGGATGTTGCTGTTGTTGTTGTTGGTTGGTTATTTTCATTACCTCCGTCTTGTCTATGTTCACCTGGAGTCCTGTCTTTGCTGCTTCTTTGATCAGTTTTTCGGTTTTCGCTTGTGAGTCTTCGATTTTGTGTGACATCAAACATAAGTCTTCCGCGAAATGCAGATCTTCTAGGTTCTTCACGTTGGTCCAGGATATTCCTGTCTTCTCGTTTCCCACTGTCTGACGCATAATCCAGTCCACAACAATTAGGAATATCATTGGTGATAATAATCACCCTTGTTTGATTCCTGTGTTTACTCCAAACGCCTAGCTGAGTTTTCCGTTGTGGATCATTTGACATTTGCCTCACCTAGATTACTATCTCGCTAGGTTTCTAGCCGGTCCCAAGCCCGGATAAATAGTGGAGGTTGAGGCGTGGTGCTAGCAACTCCACCCCGAAAACTTAACCAAATTGCTATAGAAACTTCAACGCATAAATGTATTAAAAATACTGTCTTCTTGTCTAAAAGCAAAAAAAGAATATGGCATATTAAACGTTACTGCATTAGCTGTCTCTGTCTGTCTGGATTCAACATAGAACTTGGCACCGAAGTGCAGCAGTTCGAGTTGCCACGTTCCAAATAGCACACAGAGGTAGACAAGAAGATGAGTGAAGAGAATCAATACAGTCTGACAAGTATAAGAGTGAAACAGAATGGGTAATGGTAGAAAGGAATATGAAAGATTACAGAGACTGAATACATCTGCACTGGCCATTGACAACGATTTTGAGCCATGTCACCTATTGTCTCCAGCCATTGATTCCTAGAGTCCCGAGGGCCCCAACCCGGAAGTCTGCATCTCCCTACCTGACCGACTCAGTTTAACTGTCAAGGATTTCATGGATTGATGAGGCCATGTTTTTGTTTGGCCACCACTGGCTCTTTTCCAACCTGCACCTATATCAGCTAGCAATGCCCGTCGGGGGAGGCGATGGTTAGGCATGCGCAGCACGTGACCTAGCCATCTTAGTCTATGTAACTTTATAGCCTCGTCGATTGATTTTCCCTCTTTGCCCAACACTCTACGCCTAACGTCAACATTACTTATCTTGTGAAACCACCTAACGTGAGACAGATCGCAGACATCTATGATCGAAAGCAGTCAACCTTTTCATGTCTTCAACTCGTATTGACCATGTTTCAGAGCCATAGAGAAGGACGGAGCGAACTGATGAGCAGTACACACGTCCCTTGGTTGATAACCGGATGTCACGCCTACGCCAGAGATGGTGTAAGTCAGCGAAAGCAGCTCGAGCCTTTTGGATCCGTGCTGAGATTTCATCGCCAATCAGTCCGTTGGTGCTAATACAACTTCCCAAATAGGTGAAGTGGTCAACATGTTCTATCACTTCACTCCCTATCACTAAGTTAGGAGTTGACGTGGTCCAGTCCTGTAGCAGCATCTTACATTTTGCAGGGGTGAATCGCATGCCAAACATACGAAGATTGCTTCTCAAGGTGTTCAGAAGACTCTGCATTTTGTCAGCATCCTCCCCTAACAGGACTATGTCATCTGCATATTCTAAGTCCATAAGATTATTCCCTGGTAACAAGTCGATTCCTAAGTCGTTACGTTCAGTTAAGGATACTTCCATCAGCATATCTATGATGAAGTTAAACAGAAATGGGGAAAGTGGACATCCCTGTCGGACACCACTGGTTGTTACCAATTCAGATGACAATTCCCCATAAGCCCTTACACGACTACGTGAGTTTGAATAGAGTGCCTTGATTAGTGCAATGTACTTTCTTGGCACTCCCTTCACAGTCAGACATTGCCATAGTACCTTTCGATCCACGGAGTCGAAGGCCGCCTTCAAGTCAAGAAATATGACAATTGTTGGACGCCGAAAAGTGTGTCTATGTTCTAGAATCTGTCGAAGAGTGAAGATATGATCTATGCACCCTCTACCTGGTCTAAAGCCTGCTTGATTTTCCCTTGTCTGTTCCTCCCGAGTTCTGCTTAGTCTATGCATGATCACTGAGCCTAGGATTTTAGAGACTATGTTCGTTAGGCTGATCCCCCTATGATTATCACACGAGGACTTGTTTCCCTTCTTGAATATCGGTATAATAAGTGACTTACCCCAGTCTGATGGGACTGTCTCTGATTCCCAGACTTTGCCTAGTACCTCAGTTAATCTACAAACTAGTATGTCACCCCCATATTTAAACACCTCCGGAATAATTCCGTCGGGTCCTGCCGCTTTGCCTCGTTTCAAATTACTGATAGCTTTTGTAACCTCACCTACAGACGGCGGACCAGTGTCTATATCCCATTCGGGTACGTGGTGGATGGCGGGGAGGTTCAGTGTGGCTGTAGGCAAGTTAAATTGTTCCTCAAAGTGTTCTTTCCAGCGTTCAAGGCGTCCATAGCTTTTAATATCTCCCCTAATCTCCTTTTCTTCTTTCCACCACTGTTCACGGTCCTTGCGGAGACTTTTTAAGTTTCCTTTTGTGCAGCTTTCGCTCCTCATTGAATTCGGAGCTCGCCGGAATAAGTCTTCTAGCATCTATCAGTTCGGATGAGGCATCGAAATCCAATGGTTTTTACTCACCTTTGGATTTGCCTTATTCACAGCTTTTACAGCTGTATCTATAGCTGACTGAATATTCTTCCAGGCTTCTTCAGGGTGAGCACAGCTGTCGAACTCAGATATGCGTTTAGCTAGTTCTTCCTCAAATAGGGATTTAGTTTCCTGATCGAGCTGGGGACGTGATGGTTTTACCGCCAGCTGTTTCCTACGTCCGTTCAGTCGTAAGCACACACGAGCCCGGACCAGTGCGTGATCGGTATCTACACACGTGTTCCAAAAGGAGCGACTGCATTAGCTAAGATAGCTACATAATAAAAAAGAGGGTGATTGGATGAATACCAATGTTGAACCAAAAAAGAAAAAGTTGCTGGGTTTCATATCAATCTTTCAAATATCCAAGATATATAAAAGAGTAGATAAATGTGTTTTAGTCCGGTTGATTTAAACACACCTCACGAAGTCATTGATTTTTAATATTTTGTCTATTTCAGCACAGTTAAAAGTATGTCTAAGAAATTCTAAAAATTGGTCGTATTAGTTTTTGTTCTTTCACCTTGATTTTACTCTAATTAACACTATTCTTTGAAATATCACACTAATTAGGCACTACTCAACACATCAGTTATTCTAGTCATTTTATGTTTACGAATTCATCATTGAAGTTTCGTGAAACTGTAAACCTCGTCTCAGTTATTGTATGTCTACAGATCTAACAAGGGATCTGCTTAGTTTTTAGGATTTGTATTTGTCGGATTTCATTTAGGTTTCCTATGATAATAATAATAGTTAAGCCTAAAATTTCGGAATTTTCATTGATCACTCTACTGCCTCTGTAGTTATCACAGGATGAATATGTTTTATTGAACACTAAGGTCAGTCAAAAAGAATCCTGTGTGACTGCTAAGCACTAGTCAATACTCCGTTTAATGTTATCCTTCAGCCTTACAATTTACCTATAAATTTATAAGGTGTATGTGTTAGTAGATTCGCCCAATTCTAATTTTGTTCTCATCAACCTCCACTTATTAAGATTGACATTGTTCGGAGGTTGTCTGTCTGTCTGTTTTCGACATAGAACTTTGCACAAATGTGCAGAAGTTCAAGTCGCCACATTCCGTGTAGCACGCGAAGCAAGAGAAGAAAGTACAAGAAAAGCATAATAGAAACAGTGAGCAGAGGTGTGAGACAAAGGAGTAATAAAGAAATACAAAACAGTTTCATTGAAGATCATAAGTCACAGGGGGTGGATGCATCTGCGTCCACTGGGAACGGTGTTGAGCCATGTCACCAATTGTTTCCAACCATAGATTTTTACCGTCCCGAGGACCCCAGCCTGGAAGTCTACACCTTCCTACGTGGCTTAGACCAACTGTTGTGGATTTCATTGACTGATGCCAAGTTTTTGTTTGACCGCCGCTAGCTTTTTTCCAGCCTGACCCTATATCCGCTAACATTGCTCGTCGAGGGAGGCGATGGCTTGGCATACGTAACACATGTCCTAACCATCTCACTCAGGCTGTGTAACTTCACGACTTCGTCGATTGATTTCCCCTGTTTACCTAGAACTCTACGCCTAACCTCAATGTTGCTCACCTTATTATGCCACTTTACATGGGAAATAGAACGCAGGCACCTATGATCAAAGACAGCTAGTCTTTTCATGTCTTCCACTCTCAGTGACCAGGTCTCACAACCATAAAGGAGGACGGAGCGGACTGATGAGCAGTACACCCGCCCTTTGGTCGATAGTCGAACATCTCGTCTACGCCAGAGTCGGCGTAAACTAACAAATGCGAAACGAGCCCCTTGTATTCGTGCTGAGATTTCGTCAGAGATCAGCCCGTTGGCGTTGGCTGATGGTACTTCCCAAATAAGTGAAGCGGTCAACGTGCTCTACCACTTCACTTCCTATTTTTAAACTAGGCGTCGATGTAGTCCAGTCCTGTAACATCATCTTGCATTTGGCGGGAGCGAATCGCATGCCAAACATTCGTAGATTGCGGCTCAAGGTGTTTAGAAGACTCTGCATTTCGTCAGCGTCTTCGCCTAGAAGGACTATGTCGTCTGCATATTCCAAGTCAACGAGATTATTCCCCGGTAGCAAGTCAATCCCTGAGTCACTGAAGTCACCTAGGGTTAAGTCCATTAACACATCTATGATGAAGTTGAATAGAAAAGGAGATAATGGGCATCCTTGACGGACACCACTGGTCGTCATCAGTTCGGAGGTTAACATTCTAGATTTGACCTACTTTTAATTTTAGGGTGTATTTGTATAAGAGATACGTGAAAATTCTCCTCGTATTGACCCAGTTTCCATAAGATTATCTGTTTCAGTGAGAAAATGCATTTATTCTCGTATTACACTTGTCGGGTGACAGTTGTAACCAGGCTTAATGTGGTGCTGAAAACAACATTATCTGCTTCTTATGGTTCTTATTTCCCAATCGTCACATGGTCTCCTGTTCTATGCTAACTTCAAATGAGGATCTGTCGAATTATTGTCATAAATAAGTGTTATAAAGATGTCCGTCAGAGTATTCGTTTAATTTACAACGATAGGTTAGTACACCCTACCAACTGATGGCTGTGGAATCAATGATTCAAATAGAGGCCAGTTATCATAAGGAGCAAAGTCGCTTAGAAGTAAAATTTCTCATTTATGTTTAAAACAAGTGACCGATTGGAGAGATTGAGAAAGCATTTGTACTAGTAAAGAATCATTCCTATAAATGGCTTGGTACGACTGAGGGTAAGTAAACTCTGACCCACCACTCTAGAAATGGTGTCATGTCGTCACGCGTTTAGAGCCCCTGCCAGGTAGGTCCTGTTAATTGTTTGCATCCAGCAGGAGTGTTCTCACAAAGTGAAAGGTCGAATGCGAACATTCAGCGCTTATAACCGAACTGGTGGGCATGGCGGCCCATCTAAGTTTGATGGAAATCCCGGATTTGTAACCTATGGGGACCATGGGCTCCAGAATCCGAAGGGTTCAATTGACATACGAATCTGTTCTGATTACATGCAACCGTAAGAATGCATCTATTTACACTACTTTGGTGCCTTGTGCATCAGACTTCAAGTCAAAGGTTCTGGGAGTCACCTTTTCATTTCACCCTGTCCTCTTAAGTCCTTCCTAGCTAGCTTCATGAGTACGGCAGTTGTTAAGAAAATGCTACAGCCTGTTGGGATTGCTCTAGGTGATACGGTGATTCTCTGAAGAGTCGTTCTAATAAATACCCTTTTTATCTGTCTCCACGATCTGTTGCAGGAGCCGGTCCACATCAGTAAGGAATAACACACCAGTGATATTAGGTATGAAATCGGGGATGTTCATTTCATCCTTGTCAAAACTGGATAATTCGCTTTAATCGCACTGTGTTCAAAATTAAAATAATTTGAAACACTAGAAGTGAAGTGGTGTTCTCCAGTGTAGGAGTTAACATTCGTTTCTCCCAGTAATTTTTGTCATTGTCGATAAGAATTTCTTTCCAGTTCTAGTGTGTAATGCCTGGCATTTTTTATCCCACTAAAAACTATGTTTTTTCATATCACGGTATACCAGTGCTTTAGAAACGGATTCAGTTTGGTTGATATAAAGGATAAAATAGACATTTTTTTCACTATACAATTATATGTGTGTACGAATTTTTTATTTTTTATATTTTTGATTACAGCTTGATTCCACATCGTATTTTTGGTACAGGTATTGGATTTTCAGCGTGTGATATCGGTAGCCCAAATTTTGCAGGCCGACCATTGATATCAGGTGTGCGTCGGCGGGGGCTCGAAGCCGGGACCATGTGCATATCGGCGAGAGTCCTAACCACTGTGCTACCGACGCATCACAGTCCAGTGTGCTACACATCACTTGAACCTTCTGCATGTGTACTCCTCAAAAGTATTCTTTACCCAGTAGCAGATCCACGCCCGTAATCAGTACCTGAAATATATATCTAATTAAATTTTAGATTTTCCCGTCGATTGATTGGACCGAAGTAGTGCTCGGTCTCAGGTTGACATGTCGGCTTCTTGTGCAAATGCTTTGACGATATCTGGGCATTTAATTAGTATTTAATTGGTATATAGTGACTAGCAGTGGAATCCAGGATGCGCATTTCGTCCCATTTGGGACTCGTCAGCCACTGGATGTACCTGCATTTCTCAGTGAGTGATGATGATGTTCCCAACGAGGCTCGAACCAAGTACCTGAAATAGCCTATTGGTAGCGCTAAATATATATTCTTGTTGGACTGTCGACTCCTAAGAGATAACTTGGACTCATTTCCCTGTTCAAAGAGTCTTATGACAGGAGAAAATGTCATGTGTAAAAATTAAGATATTCTGACTAATATGATTACATGAATGCTTTGTAGAATTAATTTTATTGATTTCCTTTTTATAGTTATGGCATCATCGCCAGTGGATTGTAGAAGAATTATCAAAACAGACTGCTAACGGATCGTGTAATTCACTAACACATCTCAGTTCTGATGAACTACGTTTCACTGATGATGTTATCTCAGATGATCCGAAAAACTATCATGCATGGCAGCATCGTCGATGGATTGTGACATTTTTTAAAATATCTGTCGAAGAAGAGCTGGCATTTACTGAACGAATGCTTTTAACCGATGTACATAATAACTCAGCTTGGAATCACCGTTTTTACATAATCACACTTGATGAAGGTTTGTCATCATCTGTTCTAACACGTGTAAGTCCTTTTATTCTAGGTATTCAAGCTATTGAGCATGATTTCCAATGTATAAATTAAAATATAACTAACATGTATCACTGTTTTCTTTTTTTCTTTTTCTTTTTGAACTTTTAGGAAATCGATTTTGTTCAGAAGCGAATATCTTTTGCTCCGAATAATGAGAGTTCATGGAATTATTTTTATGGTTTATTAGTACCCCTTGTGCATAACAGAAAGTATATTATTTCTTCTGAGACATCTAAACTATCAGATGAAAAATCTTCCAGTAATGTGATTGATTTGATGCCTAAACTTCAGCTTATGCTGAAGTTTGTTGAAGATTTAATGGCAGTTGATCATACTGTTGTTGACTGTTTAGCTCCACTTAGCTTCTTAGTTGAAGTGTACACTGATTACTTAGAATTACATTTTATGAAACAGGTAAATGGCGGTAATGGCACATCAGGAAAACAAGACAGGTAAGCAGTAATATGAGGATCTAATTGAAAAGTAAATATTCCTTCGCTCAATCTTTCTGTTTTCTAAATGTCTAAATTGGGATTTTTATATATTGAAATGTGTTATATGTTGTAAAGGAAGTTATAAGGATGCATTTATTTATAATAATTTAATAGTTCCCATTGTCACATTAAGTACATAATATTCATTCAGCGAAGAGACTCTTTTCAACAACGAATCTATTATCAAGCTGTACAATCGTATATATATATATATATATATATATATATATGGTTTGTATGATAAGAAATTATATCCGATAAGGGAACTGAATCAAAGATGTGAATACATGAAATAATAATAATAGCAGTATGAAAGGCAATTAAAATATTCAAGTGTTGGTTTGTAGGGATTTGAGCTGACATTGGTCAGAGAACCATTGGAAAACCTGAGAGTACTGGACAGTCGTTTCGTCATAGTTTGGGACTCTTCATCAGCACGCACCCACTGGAGTTCGAACCCAGGACCTTCTGGTTACAAGGCGAGCTCGTATACAACTAAGCCACTGACCGGGACCCGATCCAATGGCCCATGAATTCTAACTTCTGCCGATTCACGACATAGCGCGACCACTAGCCAATGTCATTGGCGAGTATTTGTCCTCACACCGGACCTGCTGCACCCTACTGGTCACGACTTCCCACTAGAACCCCAGATAACTACCTACCTGAATAGGGCAAGTCGGATGTGAGGAGAAATACTCGCCAAAGACATTGGCTAGTGGTCGCGCTATGTCGTGAATCGGCAGAAGTTAGAATTCATGGGCCTTTGGATCGGGTCCCAGTCAGTGGCTTAGTTGTATACGAGATCGCCTTGTGACCAGAAGGTCCTGAGTTCGAACCCCGGTGGGTGCGTACTAATGAAGAGGCCCAAACTAGGACGAAACGGTTGTCCAGTACTCCTAGGTTTTCCAATGGTTCTCTAACTAATGTCAGCTCATGATGAAATCCTGTAAGGAATTAAAATACTTGTGATTACAATCATAATTAAATGTCAAGTGGCAAAGCAATTAATATCATGTATACAGAATAATTCATAAAATGTATAGATGTTGGAAAGAGGTGTGTAATTATGGGATTAGTAGGCTAATATAAAACGTTACATAACCTGGTGCGAGATCTGGTAAGATAGAATTCAACATTCTAAAAAAGTGGTTTTTGGAATTACAATGGCAAGTGTGAACAATTCGGAGTGAGAATAATAGTAATAATAATCGTAGTAGTAAGGGAAAGGTACATAGATTAACTAAATAAACAAAATGAATAAATAAATGTGTATCCCTCTACGACCAAGGTAGAATTAGGGATTGTACATACTTCTTTTGTACACAGACATGTCTAGTTTAAATTCATGAATGGTCAAGGTCTTTAGAAGTTTATAACAAAGAAAACATGGCAGGTTAGTGTGGATTCGATAGATGATCTTAAAATCTCATGGTCAAGGTTGGTAGAGTGACAGGAGTCGATCAAGTGTTCTAGAATAGAGCTTGGCACACACCTTTCTTCCTTGTAAAACCATGCTGGGATACGTTCTTATGTCCGTGTGGAAAACGCTCTCTGGCGGCCACGGTCAGTGTACTTTATACTCCACAAGAGCAGGTAAACTGAAGATGCACATTGAGGCGGCCAGACGAGAGAGAGAGTTTATCTTTTACAGAGAGATAGAGAACAACTTGCAGCTGGTGAACATGATTTGTAATCTTGCTGTTGACGGGTAGCTGAATGTCAATAAATGCACTCGCATGATCGATATGTATCATACTAGTTTGTATATTATAATCCCGGCAAGATGTCGTAAAAATAATCGCATTATATTTTATCAGCTGAGAATTTACAATTTTTAATTGAATGTTGCTTTTCACTTTCTATCGTTGGATTCTAACAACCGCATGAATCTTCAGTTGCCTAGTTTATTTATACTTCCATCAAACACTGTGTGGTGATTTTGCCTTACATTTTAGGATTGTAACCAAATTGTGCATCATACCTTTTTTTAGAGTGAACTAGGCCTGACCGATAGCTTCTACCTTGACTATGTGGTCGGGCTTGCACATCGCGATGACCCAACAAGCTGCACTGGCTGGAACCAATATTCCTGCAGGTCCTACCGTGCCAGGAAGGTTGTCAGGATAGCGATTAAACTAAAAGCAGTTATCGGCTTAGTGTAGGAATCTTTCTTACACTATGCTGGGGGATCTGTGGGCAAAGTCGTACTGCTGGGGTGGGGAACAGGGGTGTAACAGCAGTGAGGTGTTTCCCTCAGATAACCAGCATGCCAGCTATGCTGTCTCTCCGCTCCGGCGGGAGGGGCTTAGAAAAGGTCGACCCCGAAAATTGTACATCCTACGGTGGTCCGTAACCGGCGGTAAGTTTACTAATACGGAACCAATCCCAGAAACTAGTTCCTACAGGTAATGTGTGACCAGCCTCAAGCAGTTGTCCCCTGGGCTCTGTGGTCACTCAGTACTAACCCTCTTTCTGTTTCAGGTACCCGAAGGATAAACACTGAGTGAACTAGGACAAAAAGGGTTGTGTGTTGCGTTTTAGATCATTGTTAATATGATCTCTTCTATAATTCTGTAGAGAGAATTTACACCTTCATTTGAGTATGCATAGTGGTTTTTTGTAGATATTTAAGATTACAGTCCAATAAAAAAGGTGGTCCTAAACCCTTTGTCGAAGACGTCTAGGTGGAATCTCTTAGCTTAAGATGCAATAGTTTAAAAAATGAATCACAAATAATTCATTTTCAATATTAACTAATATTCCCTGCTTTTATTGAATTTTAGATTTTCCCGTCGATTGATTGGATCGAAGTGCTCGGTCTGCTGCTAGTCCACTATCCACCAGTTAAATTCTAATTGCATGCCCAAACATCGTCGAAGCATCTGCGCAAGAAGCCGCCGACATGTCAACCTGAGACCGAGCACTATTTCGGTCCAATCAATCGACGGGAAAACCTGAAATTCAGTTAAATAATTAATATGAACCGTTGCACAAGAGGTGGCTGGCTCTCGTGCCCCAAGTGCTCTAGTGGATAACGCTTTAGCGTTTGAAACTATGGGCACTGGCTTCGAGCCTCGGTGGGAACATCATCGTTCCAAACAGGACGAAATGCACGTTATCCTGGATTCCACTGCTAGTCACCATCCACCAATTAGATTCTAATATTCCCTGTTAATAACACTGAAATACACCAAAGCTGGCATTTAAATTATACAACCTGACAATTATCAAAAAGAGTTAATCATTTTGTTGAGTAAATACGTCCAACAAAGAGTTACTACTTTCAGAGATATTATTCTCAAGCATTGCAATCACATAAATATATATGAGACCTTACACAGTTGAATAAAATACTGCAAAGTTAATAGACGGTGTTATCTTAGCTCATTCAGTTTGGCGGACCCAGTTCAAGCCTGCTAGGTTTTCCCTGTTTACTTTTTATGTATAAAGTTATTACATATATATGTGTATTATTTACTTTTTATACCTGAAATAATGTGAAGTAAAAATTCCTCGGTTTATAAATATTACGATTGTTTTTATTTACATTTATAGTCCACATATTGATGCGTCAACAGGTGATTCTGTGAACATAACATACGATCCTAAAACTATTTTTGATCGTGCCGTCTCCTTATGTAATCGTTTGGCTAATGAAGTGGACAGAATTCGAGCCAATTATTGGCAGTATCGTGTTCGTCAATTGACGTGTTTCGCTAAGAAATTCAACCTACCATGTGACATCATCATATCATAGATGTTATAGTTTATTGCATCTGTGAGACTAGCTATTTAATATTTCGTAAGATTTGATAGTGTGAAATATCCCTATATTATGAATTAAAAGTCAATCTGAACGAAGAATATTCTTTTTAATAATTCCCCCTCTTCACGTTCTTACAATAATCAAATATAATATTTGTTGTCGTTAGAATAAAGGCCAGGTATGCGGGGGATACATTTTTAACGTAGAATAACGGATTAGTTATGGGGTGTCAAAATAAATAGTCTTATTTGTGTGACAAATGTGCTAGGCTGAAATCGATTACAAAATATTGTAAAACGGGAGACAATGGTGGTGATTAATCATAATAGTTTTTTTTTATTTACAGCTTGATTCCACACTGTATTTTTGGTACAAGTATGGAATTTTCAATATGGGTATCGGTAGCCCAAATTTTGCAGGCCGACCATTGATATCAGGTGTGCGTCGGCAGGGGATCGAACCTCGGACCATGTGCATGGTCAGCGAGAGTCCTAACCACTGTGCCACCAATGTGCACACAGACGTGCAGAGTAGAAAGTTTTCTTGATCGCCCTGGTTAAACGTTGCGATAGAATCTCCGCAGGGGTATCTCCCTTGAACTGGAGACGTAAAAACAGAGGCTTTTTCTCTACCATTGTCAGTTCATGTTTACGACTATTGTAACCTCTGTTGGCTTTGATGAACTTCTCTGAATATCCGTCCTCGCATAGAACATCTCGGATAACCTGGAGTTCTTTCTCTACGCAGTCTTCTGAACAAATGGACCTCGCTCTAAATGTTAAGCACCTGGTCAGATTACGGTTATATTTCATCGGTACGAAGCTAAGGAAGTGTGTATACTGAGCTTTGGTCGCTAGCTTTCTAAATATGGTTATTTTGACGAAACCATCTTCTCTTCTCGTTTGTAGGACGTCGAGGAAGTTTAGAGAGTCGTTGTATTCTCCTTCGTAGGCGAAATGGACCGCTGGGTGAGCATTATTGAAGTTGCTCAAAATCAAATCACTACTTAACCCTTCATCATACACTACAAAAGTGTCATCCATGTAACGACAATACGTTTCCATTTTTTTGCTATCTTCTCTTTCAACGGACTATTTTCTAGTTTTGCTAGAATTATGTTCGCGAAAATAGGTCACAGTGGGGATCCCATGGCTACTCCATCAACCTGTTTGTATATTTCATTATTAAGCAAGAACTGAACATTTGTTGTACATTTAATAAGTAGTTGTTTCAGATTACTAATAGGAATATCAGTGCACAATTTCCTTTCCATAATCTGTTCGCAGATATAATTGATGGTTTCCACTAGAGGCACAATAGTGAATAGAGATGAAACATCAAGTGATGCCATGTATTTGCCAGTTGCGTTCAAGTTTTTGATCTTGTTAATAAATTGAAAGGTATCCTTGACGCTATGCTTTATCCGTACCTCTAAGAAAATTGACGCTTTCATTGATATAATGAAACTCACTTCAGTTAGTGAGTTGGCTCAAATACTCTTCAGTTAACTTTGTAATTCCATGACTAATTGTAGGAATCTGGTGTCTATGTAAAGTCACTTAGATGATCAATATTATCAAGAGTGATAAAATTTGACATTAAGGTCAGAATATGTCTCAACTGTTTGTAGTGCAAGTTTATGTTGTTGTTATCATTATTCCTCCGGAACCATAGGGCTGATTGTGCCAATAAGCTCTGATCTCCTCCTCACACGATCTCCTCCATATCACATATGAATCTACAACTCCTTGTTTCCCTTTCGACAGTCTGATGCAGGACATCACTCAACCGTCTCCTCAGCGTGTGTCCGACTCATTTCCACTTCCTTCTGAAGATTTGTTGCAAAATAGGCTCATGGAAACTTCACCACCAAAGTTTCATGTTCTTAGTTCTTTCTGGCTATCTGATGGTCAGTATACATCGAATAAGGCGGTTGTCTGCAGTCTGTTCGAAGTCCTCTAGGTAATGTACCAAGTCTCTGAACTATGTAGAAGAACAGATCCGACATTAAAGTTGGAAATACGCATGATGTTTTTCATTCTGATTGTATTAGTTGTCTACACTGATTCCAAATTAATTAATGAAGGTAGGTTTCGCTTTTGTGATCCTGGTTTTGATATCCTTATCCATCCCACTTGTCGTTGAATCGTTGCTGTCCAGATAAATACGTGGGATGGGATGACCTTCAAATTTCCCAGTGCTCCTTACTTTCCAATGCTTCTTCTTCTAGTTGTTCTCGATTAGGGATGATCAAATTAACTATGAAGTACAAATAACATTTCCTATAGTTTGGTTTGTTAGGGTTTGTTTTGCTTTTTACGAGTTGATCACGGATTGACATCAGTTAGAGAACCATTGAAAACCAACAGGGAGTACTGGACAGCTACTGTTTCATCCTGGTTTGGGAATCATCGGCAGTACGCACCCACCACCATGGTTCGAATCTACGACCTTCCGGTTACAAGGTAAGCTGGCTCGTATACCCTTCAGCCACCGGGACGCGATTCAATGGCCACAATCCATGAATTCTAACTTCTACCAATTCGTGATTTACCCCGACCCCAAGCAATGTCGTCGGTGGGACATCCATCCTCACAAGTGACATCTGAAAGGACCTCATTAGTCACGACTTCTCACTAGAAATCCAGGAAACTCCATCCTGTAGCAAGTCACTAGCGAGTATCAGATTAATTTTCTATAGTTTTGGTTTGTAAGGGTTAGTTCCCACGAGCGATATTGGTTGGGGTCGCGCTAAATCACGAATTAGTAGAAGTTAGAATTCATGGACTGGCCATTCTCCATCGGGTCCCAGTGGCTGCGAATGGTATACGAGCTTGCCCTGTAATCGGAAGGTCCTGGGTTCGAATCCCAGTGGGTGCGTACTGCCGATGATTCCCAAACTAGGATGAAACAGTAGCTGTCCAGTACTACCTGACTTTCAATGGTTCTCTAACTGATATCAATCCGGAATCAACTCGTGCGTCGGTGGCACAGTGGTTAGGACTCTCGCCGGTCATGCACATGGTCCGGAGTTCGATCCTCTCCCGACGCACACCTGATATCTATGGTCGGCCAGCAAAATTTGGGCTACCGATATCACATGCTGAAAATTTCATACCTGTGCCAAAAATACAGTGTGGAATCAAGCTGTATTACCAAAAAAATAAGTGAAAAATAAATAACATTACTAAAAGGGTTCTAGTTTTGATAATAGCCTTGATGTAACTGGGTTGCAAGTTTCTGTGCTCTGAAATATAACCTGTTGACTCTGAAACTTGTGTTAGGTACTTAGTAAGTTGTAGAGAGCAACTCAGATTTCCACAAACATAAACTTACTATCACTATAAATATCACTTTTTTAACTAGTCAATATAAACTGACTACAGCTTATCAAATACTGAAATTTCAGTAGTTTCTGAGAAATTCCACCTGGTTCTACTACCTTCTTGGCTTTTAGTAACTTTGCTTCAGTGTGTTCATGATTGTCGTCTGGGTATAATTGAAATGAATGATTGACTGCTGTTAACAATTTAGAGAGTCGACATCAAGTCTATCCACTCTCACAGTTTCCTAGGCTTTCTACGCTATATCTTCTCATTTCTTCAGCAACCTGAGTGACATTCCGAGCTTCATATATTGTATGGACATTTCGCGTCTTCATGCTTATTTTCCCCTTCATCGAAAGAGTGCACATTGGCTGATTGGCTGCCCGAAGGCTTTCACCAACCTGGGTGTCATTCCGACCCTCTGATTCAAGTGAAGAATAAGTTCATGTTTTATATTTCTCTGGTGTCTTGAAGTTTCTGTAGTGATTGAATTGGATTTCTGGGATAAGGCAGCTAGTCCCACGTACAACCTTCCCTCTTTTCCATGGGCTTAAGACCGGCCAGAAAACTAATGAACTGATAAACTAGGCACGATTGTTTTGAAATATCTTAGTTCTGCGTTAACAATACCTGTTATCTTAACGTGTTGTCGCGGCAGTTTGGATAAAAACAGCTCCCTAAAGAGCCCAACATCGAACAGACGTTGGCCAATAACTTCGCGCATTCTCATTAGCATGATCACAGCCAACCGATCGCTTAACCTGACGATGCGAAATAGTTCATGATGACACTACCGATCCGTGAGATCGTTTCTCTTAAGGAGGGCTGCTTTGAGCATCCCATAGACGTTGCATACCTCTGGGCTAGACATTTGCAGAGTAACGCATTCGCTTAATTTCCGCGGTAGAGCGTGGATAACTTCAAGGAACTGTGAACGTCGATCAGTGATTCCATATTCACTAAAATCAGACTCGGCTATCTGAAGCTATGATTCTGCATTATTTGGCTAAAATGACACGAGCTGAACAGTGTTGCTAGTCGGTCAGATACAAATGAAATTAGGTGTATGATCACTCATGGAGAAATATTTATTTCATAAATAGTTAATATAATACAAGGACATATACAAAATGAAACGAATTCACCTGGTTTGTCAACGTGTTTCTAATTAAAAACAAAACAATTCCAACAGTAGGTGTGATCATGGGCAGTAATTTTGCTCGAAGTATTACGAAAAACAAAAAAACTTATCACTGTGTGTAAACTATTGAAATATAATTATAACTTATATGATAGTTTAACTTCACCAATGTTGTGATATTGGACGGGGCATCCGGTAAGTTCAAGGTTAGGATTTGGAAAGAATAAAGTTCAGGTTAACCTAGTCTGGGAGATATTGCTAGATTAGGGTTAATTAAGGGAAGACTGGGAGTAGAATTGGAAGGCCGATTAGACCTTTCACAGCTACAGCTGTTTCCAAAGCCATCGGTGTGTTTGAACCTCCCCTCTGTCTGAACTTTAAATTCTTCTATTTGGTTACAGGATTTCATCATGAGCTGACATTAGTTAGAGAACCTTTGGAAAACCCACCAGGGAGTACTGGACAGCTGTTTCATCATAGTTTGGGACTCTTCAGCAGTATGTACCCACCGGAGTTGGAACCCACGAACTTCTGGTCACATGGCGAGCTCTTAGACCATTAAGCCACTGACTGGGACCCGATCCAATGGCCCATGAATTCTAACTTCTGCCAATTCACGACATAGCTCTGGGTGCGTACTGCGGAAGAGCCCCAGACTGGGACGAAACAGCTGTCCAGTACTCCCAGGTTTTCTAGTGGTTC